ATCTCTATAATGTGTCGTGTGAGGTGTTTACTGATCATCGTAGCCTCCAGCACTTGTTCAAACAGAAGGATCTCAATTTGAGGCAGCGGAGATGGTTTGGATCTGCTAAAAGACTATGATATTACTATTCTGTACCATTCGGGAAAGGCTAATGTGGTGGCCGATGCCTTGAGTAGGAAGGCAGTGAGCATGGGAAGTCTTGCATTTATTCCTGTTGGGGAGAGCCCCTTGCGGTTGATGTTAAGGATTAGGCCAACCGGCTTGTGAGATTGGATATTTCAGAGCCCAGTCGGGTCCTAGCTTGTGTGGTTTCTCGATCTTCGTTGTTTGATCGTATCAGAGAGCACCAGTATGATGATCCTTATTTGTTTGTCCTCAAGAACAAGGTTCAGCACGATGACGCCAGAGATGTGACTATTGGAGACGATGGGGTGTTGAGAATGCAGGGCCGGATATGTGTGCCCAATGTGGATGGGCTTTAGGAGTTGATTCTGGAGGAGGCCCACATCTCGCGGTATTCCATCCATCTGGGTGCCGCGAAGATGTACCAGGATTTGAGACAGCACTATTGGTGGAGGAGAATGAAGAAAGATATAGTTGGGTTTGTAGCTCGGTGTCTCAACTGTCAGCAGGTGAAATATGAGCATCAGAGATCGGGTGGCTTACTTCAGCAAATAGAGATTCCAGAGTGGAAGTGGGAGCAGATTACCATGGACTTCATAGTTGGTCTCCCACGGACTTCGAGGAAGTTCGATGCTATTTGGGTGATTGTGGATCGGCTGACCAAGTCCACGCACTTCATTCCTGTGAGTACTACCTATTCTTTGGATCGGATGGCTGAGATTTACATTAGAGAGATTGTTTGCCTGCACGGAGTGACCGTTTCCATCATTTCAGACCAAGGCACGCAGTTTACATCGTAGTTTTGGAGAGCCGTGTAGCGAGAGTTGGGCACTCACGCTGAGTTGAGCACTGCATTTCATCCTCAGACGGACGGACTGTCTGAGCGCACTATTCAGATCTTGGAGGACATGTTACGTACGTGTGTCATTGATTTTGGTGGTTCATGGGACCAGATTCTGCCGCTCGCGGAGTTTGCATACAACAACAACTATCAGTCGAGCATTCAGATGGCTCCGTATGAGGCTTTATATGGGAGGCAGTGTAGATCCCCAATGGGTTGGTTTGAGCCGGGCGAGGCTAGGCTGTTGGGTACTGGCTTGGTTCAGGATGCTTTGGACAAGGTGAAATTGATTCAAGAACGGCTTCGCACAGCGTAGTCGAGGAAGAAGAGCTATGCTGACAGGAAGTTCCGCGATGTGTCTTACATGGTTGGGGAGAAGTGTTCTACTGAAGGTCTCACCCATGAAGGGTGTTATGAGATTCTGGAAGAAGGGCAAGTTGAGCCCTCAGTTCATCAGGCCTTTTGAGGTACTTCAGAGGATTGGAGAGGTGACTTACAAGCTTGCCTTGCCACCTAGTTTGTCGAGTGTGCATCCAGTATTTCATGTTTCTATGCTCCGGAAGTATATCGGCGATCCGTCTCATGTCTTGGATTTCAGCACAGTTCAGTTATTTGGTGATTTGACTTATGATGTGGAGCCGACGGCTATTTTGGAGCGGCAAGTCCGAAAGTTGAGATCAAAGGATATAGCTTCAGTGAAAGTGCAGTGGAGAGGTCGGCCCGTGGAGGAGGCTACTTGGGAGACTAAGCGGGAGATGCGGAGCATATATCCACACCTACTTATCGCTTCAGGTATGTTTCTAGACCCGTTCGAGGACGAACGTTTGTTTAAGAGGGGTAGGATATAACGACCCAGCCAGTCATTCCGAGAGTTATAGCCCCGTTCCCTCATTTCTTGCTTCTCTTGTGTTCTACAGCTATATTATGACTTACCAGGTTAGTTGGTTTGGGTCCGGAGTGGTTTTGGAGTGAATTGAGACACTTAGTCTCTTATTTGAAAGCTTAAGCTAGAAAAGTTGATTGGATGTTGACTTATGTGTAAACGACCTCGGATTAGTATTTCGATGGTTCCGTTAGATCTGTTAGGTGATTTTAGAATTAGGAACGTGTCCGGAGGGTGACTTGGAGGTCCGTAGTGGAATTAGGCTTGAATTGGCGAAAGTTGGAATTTTGGCGATTTTGGCTGGCAGTGGAAATTTTGATATCGGGGTCAGATTGGATTTCCAGAAGTTGGACTACGTTCGTGGTGTCATTTATGACTTGGGTGCAAAATTTGAGGTCAATCGAACGTGGTTTGATAGGTTTTGTCGTCGTTTTTAGAATTTTGAAGTTTCAAAATTCATTAGGCTTGAATTCGTGTGTAGTTCGTGTTTTTTGATGTTGTTCGAGGTGATTTGATGATTTGACTAATTCGTCTAATGTTGTGGGATATGTTGATATCTTTGGTTGAGGTCCCGAGGGCCTCGGGTTGATTTCGGGTGATTAACGGAACAAGTTTTAAATTTGGGAGGCTGCTGAAGTTGAACTCAGCTGTCATAAACGCACCTGCGGATGTCTCATCGCAGGTGCGAGCACGCAGAAGCGGGGTTATGGCCGCAGAAGTGGAAGGAAGAAGGACTGGCAGAGTTCGCAGGTACGAGGGGTTTGCCGTACCTGCGATAGTCGCAGAAGCGGGGTGTTGGCACAGGTGCGTGTGTTGGTCCGTAGGTGCGATGTTATTTCCGCACCTGTGATGAGCGCAAATGCGATTCCTTGATCTCAGGAGCGGGGGCTGGGTTTAAGTGATTCTCCGCAGAAGCGGAGCTTGGTCCACAGATGCGGCGTTGCAGAAGCGACTAAGTGACCGCAGATGCAGTTTTGCTGGACCGAAGGTATAAATAGAACACTTCGGGTTTTTTCCTCCCATTTTCACATCTTTGAGCTCGGATTTTTGGGATTTTTGAGAGGGATTTCAAATCAATCATTGAGGTGAGTTCCTTATGCTTATTTATGTTCAATAATGGTGTTTCCCCACTGATTTTACACCTAGTTGGTGAGTTTTTGAGGTGAAATTCGGGAGATTAGGGCTTGAGAATTGGAGAGTGAGTTTTGGGGATTTGGAGGGGCAAATGATGTCGGATTTTGATGAATTTAGTACAGTTAGACTTGTGAGCGAATGGGCTTTCGGGTTTTGTGACTTTTGTCGAATTTTGAGACGTGAGCCGGGGGCCAGGTTTGAGTCGATTTCGGATTTTGGAGTCTAATTTAGTAGTTTTCTTGTGGAATTTATTCCGTTAGCATATATAAATGGTATTGTACTGTTTGTGGCTAGATTCGGGACGTTTGGAGACCGATTTGAGAGGCAATGGCATTGCGGATTAGAGATTTGCTCGGATTGAGGTAAGTAACAGTTGTAAATCTCCTGAGGGTATGAAACCCCGGATTTTGGTATCATGTGATCATTTTGGAGGTGACGTACATGCTAGGTGATGGGTGTGTGTGCGAGCACCGAAGGATTGTGACTTGGTCCGTCCTGTGGAAACTGCAATGTCGAACAAACTTTTTGTTACCTATATGCTCTCTATGTGCCACAGAAATTGACTGTAAATCATGTTAGAAACCATGTTTAGGCTATGTGTTGATACTGTGGGTCCCTCAGATGCCGCGTTACATGTTGAATTGCCTGCTAAATGCTATTTGTACTCACTCACAGTTTTTACTCGCATATCATATCCCAGTCTCTGTTATTCTACTTGATGCATCATGTTATTGCTATTGGGTTGTTTTCCTGATTTTTGAGAGCCCGAGAGAATGGAGAGATTGATGACTGAGTGAGGTCGAGGGCCTGATTGTGAGGATATTTATGGGATCGGGCTGAACGCCGTAGCATGTTTCATTGAATTTTGCCATGACTAGCTTGATATAACGCTTGGGTTGAAGGAGCCCCTCCGGAGTCTATACACACCCCCAGTGACCACAAGTACCTACTGAGTGCGAGTGCCGAGTGCCGAGTGCCGAGTGCTGAGCGATTGTGAGGAATGAGTGGTTGAGAGTAATGAGTGATTGTGAGGTTGGATTGATTGGGAGGATTGAGAGATAATTGCCTGAGATGCAGTATATGATTTCATTATTGGTGCACACAATTGCCTTACATCCATGTTTTGAAAACTTTTGAGAGATATTCGTATTTGATTTTACTTGAAATTGACTTAATCAAGCGGATTTGGCTTAAACTTCTGGATTGAAAGCATGCCTATTCCATACTGAACTTTATGAGATGAACTGTAATTATTTAGCTCGTCACTGCTTTTCAATTCCTTATTTATTTCTGTTACTTACTGAGTTGGTGTACTCACGTTACTCCCTGCGCCTCTTGTGCAGATCCAGAAGTTGTTGGTCGCGGAGGGTGCTGATAGTCCTCGTAGCTGATTATTGGAGATAGCGAGGTAGCTGTCCGGCATTCGCAGCCTTCCTTTCTTCTTCCCTATCTTTCCTTTAGTTGTATTTGGATTTTAGACTTTGTTAGTCGTGTTATGTTCGAATCAATTATGTTTAGACGCTCATAACTTAGTGACACCCCGATGTCGGGCTATCTTTTTTTTATTCTGAGTTTAACTCGTTATGAGATTTCTGTTATGAAAATGACTTTTGTTTTGTCTTTTAATGAAATATCGAAGTATTTTCTTTAAAGTCGGCTGGCCTAGTACCATCGATAGGCGCCATCACGACAGGTTGGAGTTTTGTGTCAACAACTGTTTAGTAGAATCTGTTATAATTTCGGTATGTGTTAGGCTTACCTAGTCTTAGAGACTAGGTTCCATCACGACTCTTTCAGAGAGATTTTGGGTTGTGCCAATATCCAATAAAATATACAACAGATTATTATATCCTGTACCATCTCGATAACGATGTGTATCTTCTAAGTAGGTATACTCCATTGAACAAATTAGGTGTATACATATGGAGTATGGACAATATTGTACCACGCCTTCAGCCATAATATTGGTTTCCTTTCTTCTTCAGACATTACCATCCACATAGACATTTTATTTTGAAAGGCTTCACAGCATTTTGCGAGCCCTTTTTTTAATGCCAAACAAGAAATTTATAAATACTCAATATAGTTGCTTTAGTTCCAGTCTTCAGAGTTCCTGCAATCTTTTATTAGTTGCTCCCCACTTGTCTGTTTTCTTTTTGCTAATTATTCTTTATCACGTCTTACATATATTTTATAATTATCCACTAGTTGACTTGTAAGTTTTATTTATTTATTTTCCCCCTGATTATAGCATTGTCCACAAGCTAAGCGCTTGAGACTAATTACCAGATGAGAGAGGGCGCCTGATCAGTTGTTCAACGTGAAAATGAGCACAAAGGTTAGGAAAGAAAGCAGAATTAAGAAGTGCATAAAAGCACCGATCAGAGTTCTGATTAAAGCCAGGGATTGCTATGTCCAGAGCATGACGGATTGTTCTGGCAGAATTGGCTATGGCGGTATGAGCTCAGGTCCTGCAGTTCCACAACTCTCCTCTTTGCCCAGAAGTTTTAGCGTCAACTCTTCTGTGTCAAGTGGAGATGAAGACTTTAGGGAGCTGATGCGAATTGCTTCCAAAAGGAGTACACTTGTAAACGAGGTGGAATTGGAACATCTGAGGCGACAATCGCCAATTAATAATGGGGTGAATGTTAATGTGGTACCTCGGAGTCGTTCTGTTGCCATCGGAAGAATCGATGAAGACAAGCCTTGTGATTTTGGTGAGGATGTCCTGGTGAAAACAGATGTTTATCCAAGAGCAAGTAGTAGAAGCTGTGCTGTTTCTTCTAGACAGATTCCAAACAAATAAATCTAAAGAAGAAACAAACATGGCAGGTCGCAGGCTTTGAGTTAGTTCTCGCGCTTTTCTTTCTCCCTCCGGTTATCGACTGTTTCTTGGATTGTATAGTTGTTATTCCTTCTTCCAAACTTGTCATTTTATGTTCATTTAGCTGTATATATATATATATTCCCCATATAAAATATTGCATCTTTCATTCCTTGGTTTGCGGTTGCTTGCCCTTCCTCTTATTGTACCCACTTCTGCAGGGGGGTAATTTTATGATAATCTTACAGAAAAATAATCAATGTTAAAGACAAACTCTCAAGAATGGCCTCATCTGCTTACAGTATAATTATAACTATATAACTAAGAATGATTCACTGTTTTGATGATCCTTCACCGTTGGAGTTTACATGCACCACGCTAGTTCGGTTTCTATCAAAACCATACCAGACCAACTATATCTGTTTGGATTGGTTCAGTTTTGTCGGGATTTTACGGGGTTTTTGGATTTTTTGTTACATGGATATTATTTCAATATTACTTTATTAATTTTTTGATAAGTAAATATATGTCTAGTAAAAATTAAAAAAATTAATAAGCATATGGTCTATTAAAATATTCTTATGGAAATTTTTCTTAGTAACACATGATAGTTATTTTTTTAGCCAATAATAATTTTTCCTTGATGTACACTTTCAAGGTTACCGAATTTAATAATTAAACATAAAAATCAATATGATACCAAAATAATGAATGTTCTATTTATTTTCAAACTGTTGAAATACCACTTCAAATTCGAAAAAGATATAAGAACTAAATAGATTTAGACAAATGAATATGGAAGAACAAAGAGATAGACGCATTTAAGTAACATAAAGTTAGTAAAAATGGAGCACTTCATATTCTAGTAAATATTACATCCTATAATGGAATCCCAAATATTTCTAGATATTTTTTAAAGAAAATTCTATAAAAAGTCTTAAAAATATATATAAAAATTTATATCTTTATATCTCGGTTTGGTTCGGATCATTTACTCAAAACCAAACCAAATCAAACCAAAACAAATCGGATTTTTTTTATCGATTTGGTACAATTTTTCGGTTCGATTTGTACACCCCTACTTCACTGTTGGCCTTCATCACACAACTGTATGGGCGAAAATCTTCATGTCATGCATTTGACCTGGTCAACGGAGATAAAGCCTTTGGAGGCTGTGACGTGTCAACGTTATGACGTATCAACATGATCCCAAAAGGTCGAGGCCATGTAAAGAAGGCAAATTGCGGTCGAGGATGGCTTAATAGAAGACGAGGACGAGCATCCGTCCTCGATGCGCAGTAGCAGCTAGTTTAGGGATTTAGATTTCCTAGAGAATATTCTAGTGAATATTCATTTCTGTTGTACTAGCTAGAGTTTTGTGGCCCATGTATCCTTATAAATAGGAAGAGATGTACTTCTAAGAAGGGGATCGAACATTTTTGTAAAAGAACATCATTGACATTCTCTATGAAGATTCTCTTTTTATTTAATACATACAAAGCCTAACTTTACACTTCTTCCCCTTTATCCTTCTCTCCCTATCCAAGAAGAATGAAACTATTCAACGGCTTATCATCATCCATTATTGTGAGAAAGCTCAATGGAAAATCTCATCCTTGTCGGGTGAACTTTGTCCTATTTATTACTCAAAATCCATTTATTATTACGTGCCATTATTGCTCCATTATTGTTCTAAGATATTCTTATCTAATAGCACACTCCACATATTCGTCATAAAAATACTAGACCTGCTATTTGAATATTAATATTGACTTTGATTAACCCTCTTCTCTATAAATCTAATTGTGTAAAAGCCTAGATATAATTTTTAGGTTATACAGTTTGGTGCCGTCTGTGGGGATTTCTTAGTCGAACTATTAATTTTCATTCAAATCTATGATTTTCATGAATTATTAACCTAACGTGTTGTAGAGTTATCATTTTTCTCTTTGCATACAAGGATTCCACGGCAGGTAACCAAGGAAAGGGGACAAGAGCAACATACAACGTCCCGCTCGACCTTATGGGTGCCATCGACGAAGGGTATGAAACTCAAGATGAGGAGGTAACCCCCACGACATCCCCCGGGTTAGGGAAGTCGCCAACATCCACTACAAAAAAGAAGACGTTTCGCAACAATAATTTTGGTTTCCATATGTTCAATGTTGTTGCCAAAAGTATTTTTGACAATGACAAAAAAATTATTGCACTCCGTTGCAGTAAACACTGATGGGAAAAGTATATGCAACAACATAAAATATTGTTGCCAAAAGTTCACCTAGCGCAACAATATTTACTGTTGCCATAAGTTATTTGTCTTTGGTAGAAAGCAAATAAAGTCGTGAATTATGAAGATATATAGCAACAAAAATTTTTGTCATGCCAAAATTAACTTTTTGCCAACAATATCAATTGTTGCTAAAAAAAATTTGGTGGTAAAGTTAATAGTCCGTTATCAAGACTTTTAGCAACAACTATTATTGTGGCAATAATTACTTTGTTGCCAACAGATTCTCTAGTACTACTTTAGCAATAATTATGAGTTGTTATTAAATACACAATTTATATATTCTTTCAGATTTTCACAAATGCATGTCGAAATAATAAATTATATATATAGATAAAGAGTCTATACATAAATTTTGATTTCAGTGGATATACTTACTTTCAAAAACTAAATGGTCCTAAAAAGTATTTACTTACAAAACGAATAAAAGCATCATATATCCACGGTCCTTAAGTTCTATTCTAATAGTAACCCGAAAAATAAATCTTCTTCCAACAGCTTGTGCATTACATGAACTGGATTGTCAGGAATGTTGGTTTACGCATGCTCATCCTAAAAGAAGATAAATATAATTGGATTTTAAGAAAAAAAGCAATAAATACAAAAGTATAAAATGAAAGCAGTGAAAACTTCTTTAACTGCAGAAGAGGAATTGAGGAAAAGAAGTGGGACAAGAAAAAGATCAAAGAGGAAAACATGTATACAATTTTCAGGCCAAAATCTCATGCTCCTAAATTATATTTTTAGAGTCCGTGATTATTTTACTACATTGAAGATTCAAATGATCCTTTTGGTGCAAATCTCCCAATGTAAAATAGCAGTCCTAAAACTGCCATACCATGCAAAATAACCGAAGAAAGGGTTGTTGGGATTATTTTGAGAAATCAAAGGCTAATGCAACGAGAGGCAACAATCCTTTCACAAAAAATCCTTGTATGCTATGTAGCCTCATTCTCTCCCTTCAGAGCATTTGTTTTGTTCCATGTAAGCACAAAATTGCAGGTTCAACATATCGAAACATCAAATCAGGGAAAAGATTTTCTTCTTTTTTTTTCTTCTTTCAAGTAAAAAGAGCTCATATGTGGATTATGATAAGGCAACTCCTTGACTGCAAAACACTGGTTGCATGTGTGAGATAGAAGGCTCTATCACAGGCCATACCGGGTTGCCACGCCACGGTACAGAACATGCCATCTTCATGCCCAAATTGGTTAGTTCAGGCAGAGAAACATCATCATTACTGCCTCTTTCTGGCGCATCCATGCACACTGAATAAACAACACACACACAAACACAAAGTAAAGACAGAGATGCCAATGTATATAATTTAAAATCCTTCTTGTTTTTTCAGTTTATGCTTCTGCTTGTTTCCACAAACAAGGGTTGTTGATTTTTTGATAACAGAGGAAAATCAATGGTGAACAGAGAGGGGCAACCACTCTCTTAAAGAAAATCACAATACTCCCTGTTTTGCCTCATTTCTTTCTGGGCTAACCTTTCCTTTCTGGGAAAATTCTTTGGGGCTTTTTCGTTTTTGGACCTTACTTGAACATGATCTATTCTATAGGCTCCCCAAAGTACACGTAAAACAGCTTGATTAAAGTACTCCCCAAAATCAAGTTGCATCAGAACCTACTAAATACTCCCAAAGACACAAAAACATACTATAGTCGAAACAAAATACTAGACATACTGCAAATAGACTCATTTCCATATAAAACCAACAAACTTCCTGATAGGTTACATGTATTTCAATTATAAGTACTTTACTTTATGTTTTGATGATCTAACAAACTTACTATCCAGAACCAGATAAGGAACCTGTTACACATTCACAAGACCTCAAGTTCACAAGACTCCAGGTTGGGACTCAGCGTGGAATATGATTCAAGTCCTCAGAGTGGAAGGAACAACTGAGGGACCAGGTCCCTACTAGTTCCCGAGGAGACTGTACAAAGTCAACTCTGCAGCTGGAAAGTTGCTGCCTGCACACGCTAAGTGCTGCAGTCAACTTTCCAGAGAAGACTTCTTACCTACCTTGATTGCATCATTCTTAATGAGGTCACACATGTATATATGCATTCAAGGGAGGTAAAAAATCACACTTGAACACTTAGAAATCTTACACAAGCTCACATACGTGACCATTCAGCCAGCAAGTTTCAAGTTCCTTAAGAACAAAGAACAAAGCAACTACGGACCAGTTCCCACATCGAGTTATTGTGTGTCCTTAGTTGAGTTGTGACTTTGCAATAGCTCTTCAAACTCTAATTCCTATCCAGCTTATTTAGAAGCACTATATAGGAACATCTTTGTAAACCTTAAATCTTTGTGTTTAAGTCTTAGCTAGAGTTAGTCAAGTTTCAAAGTCTTTGTAATAGAGTTATTGCAAAGTGGCTTGTAATAGGTGTATTAAATGTTAGTGAAGGATTAAGAATTTAATTCCTAAGTTGCATAGGCTGTAATCTGAAAGTTGGTGAGTAGTGAAGTTGAAATGCTACAAGGATAGGTCGTGGTTTTTAATCGCGTTGAGCTGTGAATTTTCCACATAAAATTCCTCCTATCATTTAACTTCTATTCTTTGTGTGTGTAACATTCGAACCTGATAGAGAACCTGGTTTTCTATTGAAATTGGTGGACCCATATAATTTATCAATTAGTATCAGAGCAGGTTCTTTCTATCAGGTTAACACCTAGAAAGGATCCTCATGGCTGCTCCTCCAAACTTCGAAGAAGGCCAGTCCACGTACAGACCTCCTAGGTTCAATGGTCAATACTATGGGTGGTGGAAAACTAGGATGCATGATTTCATCATGGCTAAAGACTCTGAGTTATGGGATGTAATATGTGACAGACCTTTTGTCCCTACAAAGAACCTTGGTGATCC